GACTGGAGAACAGGGGTATGTCAGAGTCAAGAAAAGTTGAGTAAAGGATGGCATTAGGAGTGTCACTTCTTATTTTATAGACATCTTATAAAAAGGTGTGCAGTGATGGGCCCATTTTACTTTGTTTTTATGGTTTTCTATATTTTTCATATACAAAATCTTTAAAAAGAAGATTAAAAGGAATAGAAAACACATACCACATTATCAGTAATGGAGTGACTTTTTACTTTATGAACTTGTACATTATTTGCATTACTTGATGATTTAAATAAGACTGCCAGTGAAATGTGATAAGTAGGGCATAATAAATATTTATCAGGTGAAAGGACAAAATGGTGTCTTATTCTTAATTTTCAGTTATTTGATTATTTGAGAAATTGAAATCTTTTTATGTATTTATCAGTCATGTATATTTCTTCCTTTTTGAATTGTCTGTTTATCTCCTTCATCCTCAAACAATATTTTGACATCTCTACCCTGCTGCAGGAATTCACGTATTCTCTTTCTTCTCTTTGGTTTTCTTTAGCATCTCTTTTTATAGCTTTTTCTTTGCTTGTTTGTTTAATAAATACTTGGAGATAGTCATACAATCAAGTTGAGGTTGTGCTTGATTTCATTTTAGACACTATTTGATTTCCTTTTACTTTTCTGACCATCTTTATTATAAGCTAAAACTACACTTTAAAAACATTACATTATTTGAATTGCCCCATATAAAAGTACTGCAGTACATGTGCAATTGGAATTACAATTATGTAGTATAATTTTATAGGACTTTGGAGCTAGAAGGAATCTAAAGGCCATCTAGGGCAGGGATTGCAGATGGTTTCACCAAGAGATTCAGAGAGGGCTGCATTAGGACTATGGAATTTTGTTTGAACAGTATAGTGGTTTTGTTTTACTTTGCTCTGTTTTGTTCTTAATATGAATTTGAATGCTTGTAGGCATGCTCTTTCCAATTTGCCACAGTAACCATCTCTCCAGATTTTCTTATGCATGGCAGCTTCACATATTTAATGTTATCTGCCTGGTCCATGAAGGTATTGACCGTTACGGCCCAAACATCTTAATTTATAAGTGGTGAAACCCAGACTCTGAGAAATTAAGCACTTTTTAAATGAGCATACTACTAAATATTCCTAATAATAATAAACATCTATTTTATACTCACAGATTATAATTTGCATGCGTTAGCTCATTTGTTTCTCCTAACAGCCATTTGATATTTATTATTCATGTTATATTACTGATGACACTGAAGCTTGGAAAGATTAAGTGAATTTCACCAAGGTTGCTTAACCAGTTAAATTAAAAGAAAACAGTACTAGATTAGATAATATCTTACCAGTGTTAATTTCTGATTTGATAATGGCTATGTAGGAGAATGTCTATTTTTTGTTTTGTTTTTTT